TAATAGTACATTTCCCTTTTTTAGGAAATGACCTGTATGTATCTGTGTGAAATCAATAAAAGGATCAAGTACTGCATTATCTTTAGTTACATTGATGTTATTTATTTATGGTGAAACAGTGGTGGAATATCGCTGTTGCTTTTGTATAAATGAAGCGGACATACCTGCGTGGCCGCGATCTAATCCTGTTTACATAAAGTAAACCTGCTCCCGAGCAGGTTTACGCTTACGGCTCTGTTGCTATGACAGCAAGTCCCGGATGAGCTTCGGGGAACCGAACGATCCAAGATCACGCGAAATCGTCAACAATCTAATCCAGCTAACTTACTTAGCGAGGTACGAAGAACGGGCCCCTGGTCTAAACTCTGATGCTAGCGTGTGTTAATGTACCTGTGGAGCAAAGTGCTAGAAAGCCAAATGAGGTTCCACTGAGACTTGAACTCAGCTCGCTGGATTCAGAGTCCAGAGTGCTAACCATTAGAATGTATTACGACCTTAACCTGAAAATTGAATTTACTATTTTAGAGAATATTAAATAGTAAAAGCCATGTTAACATGGCTTAATCTCACCAACACAAGTCTTACCTTTCCAAAGGTTGATGCAGAAGTAAAGTTTCTTTAATGAAGTTAAGTATTTCTTGTAAAGTTTTCAAGCCGTTAGAGAGAGTCAAGTTCTGTCATTTCATTCTTACCCATAGCTGTTTTTTTTCTAAACAGACACTGATCCCACAAGAGGAGGAATTTAACTGCAAACGCTCTCAGACGTATCAGTCCTGCTTTTCCCGGATCAGTGTTCATAGTTTAGTCTGTGGTGTCAATCCTTAAGCCTCTTTTATCAATATAATCATTCCTGTGCACTTTTCAGGGTCCAGGTCATTACAACCTTTTTATCATCAATCAAATAAAAATGACACATCATCTGGATTAATAGAAAGAAAGAAAAACCCAAAGAAAACTATTAAAAATATTTTATTTATCATGCACAGACTGCTGGACAATAGAGGGCACTAAAACACTGTGTTCCCTGAGCCACACCAAAGTTTGAAGTGTCAATGTGGTAAACCAAATCTGGTTTAGTGTGGGGAAATTCCTGACAAGTTGCAGCAATCAAATTGAAATTCACAGGGAACAAATTTAAAAACTAACAGACAGAAAAAATGACACCGTTACAAAATACGAACACAACAGCCTCATAATGACAGATTTAACCTTCTAAGACCTGAACTCTTCCATGGCATGCTTTTTTGATTTCTCTTTGATATTTGGGCTGATTGGGACCCGATGAATGTAAAAACAGAGGATTACCAGATTATGTTTTTTACCTGATTTTTGTTTCTTAGAAAAATAAGAGCCACATATGAGGATATTCATTTTTAGAGCAAAATTGAGTATAAATACAAAATGTGATGTCCACATATGTGGACGCCAGGTCCTAGGAGGTGAAAGAAAAAAAAGCTATATACTGTTACATTAATGTGAAAACATATTCCTGATGTTGGACTAAGATGATACAGATGATTACTATTTGCAATTATCAGAGGGACAAAAGCTATGGATTGTTTAATATACATTTTCCATCTTGTGATCAGATTACTGTACAGTACAATCTCTGTTGTCTCTTCACATTTTCTTGTCTCGATGCATGCTCAGTCATCCAGGTATGTAAATCTCAAAAGGTTGATTGTGATCATCTGGACAAAACTTTTCATCACTCATCCAAGTGACTTCTTCAGTATTTTGGGATTCACAGTGGTGCTAGTTTCGGTCATTGTGCAAATGCACTGTTTATAAGGTTGGGGAAACCTGCAGCCAGCTGAGACTGGAGAAGTCACTTGGATGAGTGACGAAATGTTGCTCCCACTGAAAACGCTACATCCAGATGAATAGAATCAACTTTTGCATTTCCCTCTTAGGATAAATCCTTTCCCACTAACCCCACAACATGAAAGTAATTATTCTCCTGTGTGTGCTCTCATGTGCCTCTTTAAATCCCCTAATTGTAAAAATCTTTTATTACAAATGTCACAGCCAAATGGTTTGTCTCCTGTGTGAATTATCATGTGCCTGTTAAGATTTTTGTTATAATTAAACCGTTTACCACAAAGATCACAAGCATACGGGCTCAGCCCTGTGTGGATGCTCCTGTGTCTCTTCAGAACACCTTGTTGTGAAAACCTTTTACTACAAAATTCACAGCTGAATGGTTTCTCTCCTGTGTGGATTCTTTTGTGTGTCTTCAGATTGCCCACTCGATTAAATCTTTTACCACAAATGTCGCAACCAAATGGCTTCTCACCCGTGTGAACACTCAGATGTGTCTTGAAATGAATCCTCTGAGTAAATCTTTTACCACAAACATTACAATCGAAAGGCTTCTCTCCCGTATGGACACTTCTGTGTCTCTTCAGATCCCCCAGTTGTAAAAATCTTTTACTACACACACCACAACTAAAAGGTTTTTCGCCTGTGTGGATTCTCATGTGCCTATCCAGACTATACTGCTGTCTAAATCTAGTTTCACAAATGCTACAAGTAAACGGTTTTTCCCCTGTGTGGACTCTCATGTGAGTCTTAAGATTTGCATTTTGATTGAATCTTTGTCCACAAACACTGCAGCCAAATGGTTTCTCTCCACCGTGGACTTTTGTCTGCGATTCAACACTTTCCTTCACTCTATTAACCAAACAGCTGGAAGTTTTTTTTCCTGAATGATGTGTTGAATAATGTCTCTGAAGACACCCTTTGTACTGAAAGCGTTTACCACACTCAGAGCAGCTGAGCGGTTGTTTGGCAGAGATATGTCCCAGATTATCACTCTTTACACCTGAGTCATGTTTCATGCTCTCCTTCCAATCACTACTTTCACTTTCAGGTCCAGACAAAGGCTCTTGCCAATCATCATCATCCTCATCAACAGTGACTTCATTCTCGAAATAGTCTGAAGCTTTTCCATCAGTATTTGGTTGTAAAAGACTGTTTAGATATGAAGTATTGGTAGGTTCTGGTCCTCCACAGAGCTCTCCACCAGGTTCTCCTTTTATCTGCTTGTGTGAGCAGCTGGCTGGAGTCGGTGTCTCTTTGTTATCTTCAGCTGGTTCTTGATGAAGCTCTAAGACTTGAGGTTTCTCTTCCTCATCTTCAGTCTTCAAAGTAACAGCACCCAGACCATTAAGCTGCTCTCCTTCCTGACCAGTCCATAGTTCCTCCTGCTCCTCCTTTATGTGGATGTGGCCTATGTCCTGCTGGTCCAGACTGGGGATCGAGGGAACCTCTTCTTTAACTGGCAACATCTGCTGGACATCTGCAGAAAACACACATTACAGGTGCATCACAGGAAGCTGGGAGCTATGCATTTTTTTCGAGAATTCTAGTTCTAAGTCAGGGATGTCAAACTTACGGCCAATGGACCACATCCAGCCCACGATACAATTATATCTGGCACGCAAGATAATTTCATATGTCAATTATTAATTTTCTTTATCGTGTGAAAAAAACATTTAAATGCAGAAGTTCTTTATTGACAGAAAGCTGAGTGTTACAGGTCTGGGCTACTTAGGATAAAAGTGGACTGTATGTGGCCCCTGATATAAAACACGTTTGACACCCCTGTTCTACGGTATTACACATCAAGACATAACAAAAACAAAAAATCATCTGCTCTCTACAAGGTTCTAAAATCATTTAAGCACAGCCTTCTAACATATGACACAATGTCATTATTTACTGAACAAAAACTAAGCCAAACTGCAGAAGCAGTGTGTTTAAGCTGTGTGTGGAAAAACTAGCTACATCCTATATGATTCAACAGCTTGTAGAAACAATGTTAGCACAAAAACAGTAAAGTACAGTGGTCCCTCGTTTATCGCGGTAGTTACGTTCTAAAAAATAACCCGTGACAGGTGAAATCTGCGAAGTAGCCAACTTTTTTTTTTTTTTTTTTTTTTACAATTAGTATAGATCTTTTAAGGCTGTAAAACCCCTCACTACACGCTTTATACACTTTTCTCAGGCAGGCATGAACATGTTCACACTTTTCTCTCTTGTTTAAACTCTCAAAGTTCAAACCTTCGTAGAAAAATAAGTCCAGTATTATAGAATGAAACCAAAGGCACCCGCGGCTGCCTTTGACGGTGAAAAACGTTTTGTCTACATTGTTGTGTTTTTGATCGAAGACTTTGACAAGCCGAATGCATTCTGTACGGTACAGGAGACACGGTACGAGATTGATTGACAATGGTCTAGAGCCAATCAGGACGCAGAACACAATGCGCTGTACACATTTAGTAATGATCAGTTACTACCGACTGCATTACTGCATTTTGTGCAATTTCCTTACACTATTTTTCTAGTATATCTAATTCACATTTTCTTTCTGAGCCTAGTGCTGTGAATTTCCCCAGAGTAGCATTAATAAAATCTTTATTTATCTATAACTATGCATTCTCTTCAGTGAGAAGTGGTCGAGAACATAAACCAAAGCACATCGTCTCACACACTGTGTTAGTGCACTAAGTAAAGAAATTACTCACACTGGAATCACACAGCTAATCCTGGCTCATAAATTTCAGTTTCATGGACCATAAAGACAAGCTCCAAGTGTTTCTGGAGCTTTACCTTCTTTACTAAATACAGATTTTATCCTCTTGTCCATGAACCTCTGAAGTGTTTACCAAATACCAAATACAGCATCATTACACACCAATTGTTGTGTTTTATAATTTAGTTTCTGCTGTTTGATCAAGAGAATGAGTTACATGTTAATGAAACAAATGAACGTCACCCACCTGCCTGTGCTTCTGCCAAACCTGATGTAGCTGATGCAGATACAAGGGGACACAACCTGAGACCTCTGGGGTCGTCCGGTTGGAGGATCTTTAATCGAGACATTGCAACTCCACTTGTGATTTTCAGGTGCAAGCTGCAATGACACAAATGAGCCACCCGAACATTTACTCATTGATTCTCAGGCAGTAGAGGGGCTCAATTACCAATCAGAAGTTCGATGGATATATCCATGACTCCTCCGGTCTGTGCACCAAACTATTAACTCTGTGTTATTCTTGGTGCATCTGTCAAAGTGCAAATGTTAGATTAAACTGAGATGATCTGGCTAGAGTTGCAAAACGTTATGAATTCACTGTATCACTGTTACTGCCAATACCTTAGAGCAGCTCTGGGTCCTTTGACAGGTTAACTTTTAAAAATTAAATTCTAGTCCAGGTAGCAGGTCTATATTTTTGTGTAAAAGCCCTCTTCTGCTGGCCGTATCCATGACCGTGTGGCTGCTGACTCTACTGGGAATAAAGTACCTATCCAGCAGAAAACAAGTGAGTCCTCTTCAGCTATGTCCCGGTGGAGGAGATGACCCCAACGTGTATTTCTTTTCCTCCTTCATGTTTTTGCTCGTTTGGCGGCGATAGCTGACGCCCGGTTTTATTTATTGTGCTAAATTAGAACTGTTACCGTCTCAGTGTCTCAAAACCTCGTTATACCATAAAAACGATTCTAATTATTATTCGGCACCGCAGGCTTCCCTGGTGAGAGGATGAAAACTCGTCTGGAAGCTCCGCACAGTCTCAGGACGGACAGCTTCCTGCCCGTCAGTCCAACATTTTTTTGTTCCCCTTTACAACACGGTATAATAAAAGGTTCCTAGAGCCGTTTTTTTTCCCGACGCAAAAAGATTCCTGAGGAATGAACGAAGAAATCATTGTTAAAGTTTAAAAAGTAAAATTAACCTCCAGTTCCGATTCATGCAAAACAGTCTTTGTGGCGGAAGAAATCCTAAGAAGTCATTTTAGTTTGAGGACAACATACAGCCAGATCAGGTTCACTGTTTTTCATTTATTTTCTGTTTTGTGTCTTATCTACTTTAAATATAAGCTGAACAAAATATATTAAATAAATAGTTAACTGATGAATAGTTTTCCAATTTCAGGCTGTTTGACATCATTACAAAGAAATGTTACGTCAGTATCTTTGGCTGGCCATCGGGCAACTGTGTTTGTCTCTTGCTTTAACTCTTTATCATTATTTGAACCCTCGTGCAAAAAAATTCCTAAGCAAGTGAAGTAATCTTTGTCTGCACAGCAGTCATCAAAACAGGGTGAAATTCTCTAAATACTAAAGAGTAGTGCTTCCTTTATTACCTCCTTTATCTTTATAAACTGGACCATCCTTTATGCTTCATCATCTGAAACATATATCATGGGAGACAAGCGACAATCTTTTAAAAATATATATTTATGTTTTGTACTGTGGAAAAAATATGTCTTTCACAGTATGATATAGTTAACCTTTGACCTTGAGGAAACATTAGTTCTCTAACTTTGGTCTCAGGTTGAGGCAGGTGAGCAAAGGTCCTAACGCACCTCATGAAGAAACAGACACTGGCAACTAAAACATCAACTGCCCATGTAGCAGTAAGTAAACCTGTAACACTGTCAGACCAGAACTGGTTTAATGGTCCAAGTTCATAACTGATCAGGACAAATACGAACAGTTGAGAACATTTTATTATTTTGTGAACATTCAAACTTCCTCCAAAAGTTGCAATTTAAAAGACAATCATGTAGCTAAAAATTAAACTGAGTCTTTTCTTCAATGACAGAAAGACTATCTGCTTCCAGAACCTCCAATAACGACAGGTGGTCAGTTTTCTGAAAACCACTGAAAGAAGATTATACTTAAGCATTTCCAAACTGGTTCCCTCGGCAGAATTAGTGTAATATTGCATATTTAAGACTAGTTCCAAATAATGTCATGAAATTATATGATGTGATTAACACTAGAACCATAGTGGGGAGGAGGCAGATTGAACTGGTACCTGCTTCACAGTGCCTACGCCATTTTTAAAATACCAAAGGATCAAAATAAACCCCATTTGGTGGCTCTAGTGGTAAGTGTGAGAGTGTTTTCGAACTCATGATGAAAGCAAATTTGGACACAATAACAACTTAAGATTAAAAAAAAGAAAAATAATTTAGATGCAAGTTATGTGCTAACATAAAAATTCATCATTACTGACATTAATGACTTTCTATAGCACACTGAATCTCCTCTTGTGCAAATCTTTTACTGCAAGCACTACCATTTGAGTGCTTTTGGTTCTTGGTGTGCTTTAAAATTTGTATTTTGGTTAAACTCTCATCCACATAAACCAAACAGCTTGAAGCCCTTTCACCTACATGACTTGTCATTTTGAGTTGAGCAAACTCGAAAGCAGGAAAAGGATTTTTTTGGGCAGTGTTACATCCCAGACTCAGGAGCCCTGATCTCCTGCTAACCATTTTCTTCGGTTTCAGGTTCAGAATCTGACAATGGTTCCTGCCAGTCACCAACATCATCATCATCTTCATATTTATCATCAATACTGACAGTTCCAGCATTATGTGGCTGTAAATGACTTTTGAGATCTGTGTTTTTGCCTGGTTCTGGTCCCCCACAGTCCTCCCCATCTGTTTTCTGTTCAGCTGGGACACTGGGTGGAGGCTTTGTGTCAATATTGTCTTGATGAAGCTGTGAGAACTTGGATTTCTCCTCCTCATCTTCACTCTTAACAGGAACGGCAGTAAATGGGTACATGGTGATTTTAACCTCCTCCATCAAATATAACTTCTTGTCTTCGCAACCAGCCAGAAGTTCCTTCTGCTCCTCCTTTACATGGAGGGGCTCTGGATCCTGGTCCTCTTGGATACAGGGAGTCTCTTCTGTGTGCCCGACATCTGCAGGAAAAACAACCAAACAACAACCAAATATTGACTAATTCAAGAAGTTTGGAAATAACTGGTAAAATCATAATTCAATTCTGATTTTATCACCCTGTGAAAACAAGTTTCAATATGCATATTTTAATGTGCACTTCTACTCAGTTTATATTATATTATTTATATAGTGTCAAACAGTCACCTTAAGGCACATCATACTGTAAGGTAAAGACCCGGCAATGACAGAGAAAATGCCAACAATCAGACAACCTCCTATGAGCAAGAACTTACCATCAGTGGGAAGGAAAAACTCCCTTTTAACAGGAAGAAACTTCTGGCAGAACCAGGCTCAGGGAGGGGCGGCCATCTGCCGCAACTGGTTGGGTCAAAATGTTTTTCAGAATGCTGCTTAGGCCCAGTCTTTCAGAAAATAATAGCTGACACACCCTTCAGCACATCCATCTACTGTTCTATTAAGCCTCATGAGAAATGATCTCTGTGGAAGGGAACCTGTCAAGAAGCTATTGTTAATGAAGGGAAACAGGGAGAGGCTGAGGTATCAACATTTACACAAGAACTGGACTGAAAATTAGTGGCAACAGTTCTGATGGAGGGAATTCGAATTTGATCAAATCATCAGCAAAAAATACAGAGGCGGTCAGGAGAGAGGTACAATGGTGAGAGTCTAGAGCCATCTGTAAAACACGGTGAAGCTTCTGTCTATGGTTTGGAGCTGCATTACAGCCATTACCCAGACCTCAACACCACTGGAGCGCTGTGGGATCATCCCGGCAGAACAGAGCAAAAGCCAGAAACATGCAAAGAAGCTTTGACTGTTCTTTGCCTGAAGAACTATTCCTGAAGACTACTTAAAGAAATTACAGAAAGCTGCCTCAGAGAGTTCAAGCTGTGTTAAAGAATAAAGATGGTCACGCCAAGTACTGACTTTCAAGCCTGTAAGAATTGTTCAAACTCTGGTTTTGTCTCATATTTTCATGTATGTTCGCAGATATTTCAATAAGCCCCTGCACACATGTTCAATTTTTCTAGCAAAGTATAAAGAAATTGACTTCTGCACAGTACTGGACATGAAATACATTTCTTTTTTTCCCTAAGAAATCTAGCTTCCCACATCTAACACAATTTAATATGATGGTATTTGCATGTTTCATATTTTAGTATGTATATCAAGGAATAAATATTTACAATTACAATTTAAATGTGACCTCAAAATTCAGAATTTACTCAGTGGCCACCTATGCTCCACGACATGAGTAAAAGTGTTTTTTAAAGCACTTTGTCAACCAGTGGCATCATGTCCATGTAGCAGGTCTTGGCAGTGCAAATGTTATGCAGTTCTCTCAGAAGCCTGACTGCAATATGCAAAAGTTTAAAAATTCGTGAAATGTAAGAATTTTGGAACGGTTCCTCAATTCTCATCTCCAGTTAGAGCTAATATTGGAAAAAATCCATATGACACCCAAACATACTGGAGACAGTGCTATTACAAAGTGATTTAATATACTTGATGTACAGTAAAAATTGTTTACACAAATGTGTGTCACTTACCTACACTTCTTTTCATCTGCACCATTTCAGACGTGGCTGGTACCAGTTTTGGGGACTTTGAACCCACGGCGGTGGCTTCCACCAGGCGAACGCTCTTTTCTCCAGTGTGGACGCTCATGTGCCTCTTCAAAATCCCAGATTGTGTAAACCTTTTACTGCAAACATTACAACCGAATGGTTTCTCTCCTGTGTGGACTCTCATGTGTGCTGTAAGATTTCTCTTACACTTAAATGTTTTATTACACTTATCACAAACAAACGGCCTCTCTCCTGTGTGGATGCTTGCATGTCTCTTTAAAATAGCTTGCTCTAAAAATCGTTTACCACAAACGTCACAGCTATATGGTTTCTCTCCTGTGTGGATTCTGATGTGCGTCCTAAGATTTCTATTACAATTAAAGCTTTTGCCGCAAACATCACAAATGAACGGTTTTTCTCCTGTGTGGACTCTCATGTGTCTCTTAAAATGGTTCCTTTGCCTAAATTTTTTACCACAGACAATACAGCTGAAAGGTTTCAAACCAGTGTGGACGGCCTTGTGCCGGTTAAGATCACCGAGCTGTGCAAAACGTTTACTACAATCACTGCAACCAAAGGGTTTCTCTCCTGTATGGATTCGCATGTGTCTATCGATGGTATACTGATGTCGAAAGCTTTTTCCGCAAACGTTACAACTAAATGGTTTTTCTCCGGTGTGGATTCTCATGTGTGCCTTCAGATTTCTTTTACTGGTACATTTTTGTCCACAGAGATCACAGTTCAGTGGGTTCGCTTCTCTTTGATTTCTGGCCTGTGATGCAGTTTTTTGCTTTCCTCTAAAACACGCACTATTAACCAAACAGTTCGAAGCCTTTTTTGCTGAACGGCGTGCCACATGCCTCTGAAGAGACTGCTTGTAAACAAACTGTTTATCACACTCAGAGCAGGTAAATTTCTTTTTGGCGGTTTTACGGTCCACATTACCTTTTACTACTGACTCAAGTGATTTCTTCTTCTTTAAACCCTTCTCATTGTTTTCAGTCCCACATCCACAATCTGACAAAGGCACCTGCCATTCGTCACCATCAATACTGACATCGGTCTCATAGGATTCTAAAACTATTCCATCAGTTTTTGGTTGTAAATTAATATTTAAATCCAGGTTCTTGGCTGCTTCTGGTAATCCACAGTTATCAGTTTCTGTTTTTATCTGTTTTGCTGAGCTACTGGTTGGAGGCTCTCCCTCTGTGTTGTTTTCAGATAATCTCTGATGAAGTTCTGAGGACTGTGACTTCTCTTCATCGTCTTCAGTTTTCACAGGAAGAGCTGTGATTAGGACCTTGG